ATCAGTTCTTCCTCATATGTGTAGACATAAGCTGATGCATCTGCCAAGGCCCTGAACCAGGCCAGCAGAGGGAAAAACCCTTGCTCCCAGGTCCTCTGGTCCATGGATGCCAGTATCCCTCCTGAGGGGAGGGGTTTTCCCTTGAGATATTTTTGAGAAGAGTATGTTCTAAGTAATCACTCTTGACTTCCCCATTTGTTTTAAAATTTTGTCTTTTAAGGGCCATTTTCTTTCACTGTAGCTTTGACATATGCAAAACAACTACTGGTTCCAAGGGAAAATTGACCAAGACAGTACCTCTAGCATGAAGTGGTATCTGAGGGAATAAATTAATAAAGCTACAGAAGATCTGAACTAAACAACCACAGTTTAAAACACAATCCATAGTAGAATCACACAGCAAACAGAACAGGTTCTAAATAATCAGTATTATAATCCCTTATCTGAAATGTTTGGGACTAGGAGTATTTTTAATGTCAGGTATTTTTCAGTTTTTAGAATATCTGCATATGCATAATGAGGTAGTTGGTGATAGGATAAGCACAGGATTCATTTATGGTGGGTTTTGGTTTGGGGGTATTTTTTGATTGATTTTTGAGACAGGGTCTCATGTAGCCCAGGCTGGCCTTGAACTCCTGATTTTCCTGTCTCTGCTTCCTGAGTGTTGGGTTTATAGGCTTATGCCAACACATCTGCCCAAAATGCATTTGTGCTTCATATACAGAGCCTGAAGGTTACTGATTTATTTATTGGAGTGACAGAGTCTCGCTATGTAGCCTAGTCCTTGCTGTCCTGGAACTCACTATATAAACCAGGCTGTCTTCAAACTCAGAAATCTGCCCACTTCTGCCCCCGAGTGCTGGGATTATGTAATATTTTAAACAATTCTGGGCATGACACGAACTTTCATGAGTATGGTTTCCACTTGTGGGGTAGTACTGATACTGTGAAGCATTTCCAATTTTAGATTTTTGGATTAGATGCAGAATCCGGATAGATTATATTCTCTGGACATGAGTGCAATCATAAAAGCCCAATTGGTTGCTGAACCACAGACTCACAGACATAGAGTAATAAAGGACATTACTAAGACAATAGTTACTGGGAAATTTTTGAATAAGGATGGCATTTAGACTACAAACACTAAATTTCTTGGATATTGTGTTTATACAGGACAATGATCAGGTCCCAATAATAGCACATTTGAGAACGAACTATGATACTGTGCAACTAACTTTAAGATGACTCAGCAAGAGGACAGAGATAGAGACTGGAGGGAAGGAGATAAAACAGCAAATGTGGCAAAACAACTGATTGATCGAGGTGAAGGACTTAGGGCGGCAACTGTGCTTCCATTTACAGGATGTTTAATTAACACTTTCCCAAAAACCACAAGTTTGGAATTTGCATTTCTAATCTGAAAACTATCTAGAAGCAAATTCTACAACTGTTCAGTTAAGTGTTGGGAGCATAGAACCCTAGCATGGGTATTATCAATCAAGAAAAACAGAAACAAATCCTAACAAGGAACAATCAAGTTAGGAGGAAAACACTGAAGAAAGATGAAGAGGAAGCCAGAAGCCAATGAAACCAAAAGAGTAACAGCAACAGCTGAACCCAAAGCTGGTTCCTTGAAAGAATGAGTAAGAGACCATCAGCAAGGCTGGTGTCAAGCCTTTCGAAGGACAATACAGGAATGGGTGATATAAAGGAGAGCATAAGTACACTCTTGTTTTTAAATCCTAAGAAATCTTATCAACAATTTTTGTTTTGAGACCGGCTGGCCTGGACTCAAGTTCCTCCTGCCTCAGTCTCTTGGGTGCTGGGATTCTAGGCATGTACCACCTCGCCCAGCTCTGTCAACAATATTATGCCAACAAAAACTGAAAGTGAATAAACTTTATGTGTATGTGAGTGCCTGTAAAAGCCAGAAGACCGTGTTGGATATCCTGGAGCTGGAGTTACAGGTGGTTGTGATAGCACCCTTACCCAAATGATAAGGGTGCTAGGTATCAAACCCAAGTCCTCTAGAAGAATAGTAAGTACTCTTAATTGCTGAGCCATCTCTCCAGTCCGTAACTTATAGTATGCTTTAAAAAGGAGTGCAGAATCCAAAGTCAAACTCCCACCCAACAGCTGCCTAGATTTATGTATTGTATCTACATTTTCAGAGACTACAATGAGGAAATACCTAGATACCAAAATCAAAGAGTTCTATAATAAAAGGAAATTCACAGCTCAAAACTGATTAACTGTTCTAATAAAAATGACCAAACAATGGGGCATACACTGTTTTTGCTTTCCTTTGCAGTGCTGGTGCTGGAACCCAGCACTCTATGCATGCTAGGAAAATGAATCTAGGTGAAAGCCTTGCCACTGAGCCACAGTCAAGTTGCATCACTGGTGACTCATCCTGACATTAAGCTGGGACAAACACTCTTTAGATGGTACTTTAAAGCCAGTTATTAATAGACATTTTACACTAAAAGTGGAAAGATTTAAAAGAAAACCAAATTTTCCTATTAAGACAGACACAGGACATAATAAAAAAAATCTGAAGGACATTAAACTAATAAGATTGCTTGCTTGTGACCTGCCATTATCTAGAAAAGAAAGCAATTCTCTGAGAATCATGAACTGCTCTTCCAAAATATACATATGGTACCTAATATTCAATGATCTTTTAGGTTGGCCATAATACCATGGCTCGAACATTCAAAGGGAACTTCTACCCACTTCACCTGAAACTTCTCTAAATAAAGAGGCCTGGGAGAAATGAACTCCCAAACTAAGAGTGAGAGACACAACAGTTGGAAGCAGAAAACACGTTCATGGACTTAAACTCAAAAAGCTGAAAATGCAGCCAAGAGTGAAGCATCTACAAGCACACACATAGCTTCAAACTGAAGAAACACAGAGAGGCTCAGGAATGGGCAGGCCCAGCTATCACTGAAAAGAGCAAACAGAGCAAGCTGGAAACAGCATGCTTAAACTGGTGCACTGACAGGACTGAGTCTGCATGAGACCCACACAGCCCTGCTCAACTGGATGTCCAGAGCCAAGAGTGTGTCCTCAAGACTGTAATGCTCCGGAGCTTTACTCCAAAACATGAGCAATAACCACCAGAGACAAACACAAGAGACTTATGAAGGAAAAACAGAGAGAAAAGGGACAGGAAAAAAAATATAATCTTCTCAATGAGAAAACAGAAGGTATTACATAAAGCATAAAAGAACAGAACACTTTTTAAAAATATTCAGACACTGAAATGGACTTTTAAAATACCAAGTCTAACATGTGAATAAGTTCTAGAAAGTGAGAACAAAAAGAAAGGGAAGAGAAATCAAAGAATATTAAAAATATTTTCCTAGAATGGAAGGACATGGGTGTTCAGATGGAAAAAGCCCAGCAAGCATCCAGAACAGAAGATGAAAGGGGTCACAGGACAGCCCAGTCTGTGAACTTTTAGAGACTGGGAATGAACAGAAAATCCTAAAAGCTTCCAGAAAAAAAAAAAAAAAATCTGTTAAGATCAAACAGGAATGGCTTCAATATTAATACTGGAACAAGCTCTTCAAAACTGAGAAAATTATGAATTTTAACCTAGAATTCTATACTCTAGGGAAATATAAGAAGATAAATATGCTAGTCTCAAATTTTCCCTAATTTTCCCATTGATTTCCCTAATTCCTTTAAAGGCAGCCACTATACAGTGCGTGTCTTCAGAACGCCCCTTCAAGAGTTAAGATCCCATACTTTCCAGGGATGCAAATTCTTGCCAACTTCCTTACAGTGTGTTGTGACAGAAACCTGCCAGATACAGATACCACCCTTGAGAAACATAAAATGGTAAGCGAAACCACACAGAGCTTTTGTTACATACAGGACATGCTAAAATAGGTATAGAACTTGCTACTCACTAGAAGTGATATATTCTTTTCACTATACACTCTTAAAGAGATTACTTAAGAAAATTAAATATGGAAGCAAGGTCCTTTTATTTTCCCAAAGCATGACACTACTGGACACTAGTGTCTGTAACTGCTAACATAATTTTAGTTCTAGCCTCTATCTCAACCAAATCACAAGTGTCTGATTCATTGCTGGCGTTATAATCACCTAAAAGTTCTCTCATATCCCTGAAAAATCAGTACCACTATTTGCTTTTTATATTGATTTTCAAATTGTGTTCTAAAAAAAAAAAAGTTTCTTCTAGTATGTCCAATATAGGAAACCTCATTAGGTTTCAGGGTTTAAACAACAATAAAAACAAAGTTCAAAGCTAGGCTGGATGGTTCATGTCTGTAATCCTGGTACTTGAGAGACTGAGACAGAAAAGAGACTGAGACAGAAAGACGACCATGAGCTCCAGGCCAGAATGGGATACAGAGTTAGAGTCTGTCTCAAACACAAAGTTTAAAACCATGCTTTCAAAAGAACACTTCAGCTGGGCACAATGACACACAGAAGGCTAAGGTAGGACAGAGCCTGAAGCTAGTCTGAGCTGAACGAAACACTCAAAAAAAAAAAAAACTTCAGTCTAAAATAGTATCATTATCTTGATCAATATAAGATGATGGAAATACCCAGGACAGGGTTTTTGGAAAGCAGTGACCCTCAACTAGGTTTTCAGTATGTGCTTTGTGCACGGTGTATGAACAGTTTTTAGCAGCTTCAATCCAATGTTGTCCTCCTTTCACAGACACCCTCCTACCAGCAATCATGAAGATCTTTCATGAAAACCAGTTCACATCCACTAAAACCACGCCATCTAAAAGCATTACGGATGACACACCAGCCAACACTCCATAGTGCAGCTAGAGTAAGCAAATGCAAGAACTTCACCCATTGTCTGCACCCTGCACTCAGGACCCAAGGAATTCGATCTGCCATTTCCACTCTCACCAACACCTGACTGCTTTGATTTGGAGTTCCAGCAGTACCTGAGCCACCACATGCCCACCCTCCACTAACCCCATGCCAGAAGGAAGTATACATACCTTAAAATCTGTATTATTGATGTATTCAAATACCAAAGCTGGTGTCTTTGACTGAAAGAGAAAATAGTAACTGTTTAGATACTCACAGAGTAACAAATGCAATTTCCTTCTGCCACAACAGTCCACTCTCAAATCTACTTAGATGAAAAGAGGATTCCCTCACCAGGGACAGTCTATCCTTTTTTTCCCCACCCCCAAAGTATTGCTGTTCTTGTAGAGAACACAGGTTCAGTTCCCAGCACCTACATGGTGGCTCACAACTGTCTGCAACTTCAGTTCCAGGGGATCCAATGCCCTCTTCTGGCCTCCTTGGGCAATATATGACACAGGTGCACTTACACACATACAGGCAAAACACTCAAGACACATAAATAGGAGGGGACGGGGTACAGATGAAAACAGTTGACAACAAGGTGACCACTCAAGTTCAGTGATGCCACAGAGGGTTCTGTATGAACTGTGAACAGGTGAAACTTTTCATAATAAAGTTTTAAAAAGGAAGATATTCTGACTAACCCACCAGTGGCCTTGAGCAATCTGTTAGTGGTTATATGAAGATTTACAAGCAGCAGTATTCCAAATTGCCAGCTATAAAAGAAGTGTTACATTTTCATCTTTAAGCAAGCAAAATGCACCCAACAAATTTTTCATAGTTCCCAAGTTATCTACCACAGTCTTTTCAGGGCCCCCAAAGGAAACAGTCATCTACACTGGGTGGTACACATCTGTAATCCCAGGAATGGGAGGCTGAGGCAGGAGGACCAGAGTTTGAAGTCAGCTTGGGCTATGTAATGAGGAGCTATCACAAACAATTTAAACAAAAAAAAAAACCCTCACACCGTGTGTGTATATGTGTGTGTATACACACGTGTATACAATTCTCTGTGGAACTATCAAGAAACTACCTTGTGAAATTATTGTCTCAATAGACTTAAAATATATCTCATTAGACATATTCCCCTCCCCCACCAAAAATACTCAGACCTCTTAAAAAGCACCATAGCTGGGGAGATGGCCCTGTGGGTAAGTGCACCTACTGTGAAAGCAAGAGGAGCTTTAAAATGGCGGGGGGGGGGAAGACACAGGTGGATCCCAGCAGCTCATTCACTGGGGAGTCAGCCTACTAAAAAAGGCAAACTTCAGGTTTAGTGAGAGACCTTGTCTCAGGTAATAAGGAGAGCAACAGAAGACAACACACGTATTCCTCTGGACTCTACATGCATGCATACTCACACACACTACACAAAATACATTAAAATATTTTATTATTTAATTTTGTGTGTAAGTGTAATGTCCACCATGTATATAAGTGCACCTGTGTCATGCAGTACCCAAGGAGATAAGGTATCGGATTTCACTGGAACTGGAGTTACAGATGGTTGTTAGGTGCCATGTGGGTACTAGGAATCAAACCTAAGTCCTCTGCAAGAACAGCCAGTGCTCTTAACCGCTGAGCCATCTCTCCAGCCCCACAAAGTATTTTTTTAGTTAAAAAAAAAAACCCTGCTAACTGGCAGACATAATCTTTCCAAACGCTAAAAGTTATACAAATAAAAAAATTGTAAATCTTTACTAGCCAGGCGTGGTTATGCAAGTCTTTAATCCCAGCATTTAGCATTTAGGAGGCAGAGACAGGTGGAGTTCAAGGAGATTGAGGCTAGCATAATCTACATAGTGAGTTCCAGGCCAGCTGTGGCTACGGGGAAACCCTATCTCAAAAAAAAAAAAAAAAAAGAAAAGAAAAATATCTTTACTGCTGGGAACTTTTGCTCAAGGATAAGATAAGATACAAGTTCTTAGGGAGTGGGCTACAGCACATACACAGAGCTCTTTACCTGGGCAATGTGGAGCCCTGGCAGCACCAAGAACAAATGGTTCCTGAGCAGCCCCAAATTCTTATCAGTTTCATCAGGAATCTGAGCTTCCTTCAGATTCTGAAGATGATTCAAACTCAGGAGCCAAGGGCTGCCTTTTCACTTTCGCTTACTTCAATTAAAAATTATTTTGATTATTTATTTCACGTGTGTTAAGTGTTTTGCCTATACATCCAAGTGCACCCGTGTCATGCAATGCTCGTGGAGGCCAGAAAAGGGTGTCGGATCCCCTGGAACTGGAGTTACAGACAGCTGTTACCTACCATATGTGTGCTGAGTACCAAACCCAGATCCTCTACAAGAGCAGCCAGGGCTCTTCATGGCTGAGCCATCTCTCCAGCTCCATCTACTTCATTTATTAAACTCACATATTATATAGATACACAAAGTCCTAGTCCAGGTTGGTTTTGAACTCCCTATGTAGCTGAAGATGATCTTGAACTTCTAATCCTCCTGTTCCCACTTCGTGGGTATTGGGATTGCAAGCATGTATCAATCTTGCCTAGTTTATGCAGTTCTGGGGATCAAACTCAGGGCCCACTCATGCTAGGTAGGCACTCTACCAACTGAGCTTATACACTCCCCCATCCCAGCCCCCCACCTCAGAAATCCTTCTGGATTGCTATGTGGATTGAATTGTGTGATGCAAAATAATACAGAGTTTAGTTCCTGGCCTGTGGCAGGCAATCAGGCTAGCCATTATGGCATGAGGATGCCCTCAACAGAGAGACAGAAGCAATGGCCTACTTCTTAAATAAATCTCAATAAAACTCTCACAGAGAACAGTGAAATGTGAGAACTGAAATGCAACAGGAAGTGGCACCAAAGTGGGTGCTGTAAGGATTAAAGCCAAGCCAATCAAAACTACTTTAGGTTGTTTTTCCCTAGGAAAGGAAACAAAAGTCAACAATACTTCCAGGACTCAAAATTAAGCATATTATTTTATTATTATTTTAAAAATTACTTATTATTGCATGTATTTACATGCGTGTGTGTTTTGTGTTGGCCAACATGCCACAGTGCACATGTGGAGGTCACAGGACAACTTTGTGGAATTGATTCTCTCCTTCCAGCTTTATGTGGTTTCTAAGGATTAAACTCAGGTTGCCAGGCCTGTGTGGCAAAGCCCCTTTACCTACTGAGCTATCCTGCTACCCCAAACTAAACATTTTAATAATAAAAAAAAATTTAGTTAAAAAAAAAAAAAAAAAAAAGATAAACAGCAAGGCTTCTACCTCAAAGGGCTGGGGATCTGAGACCTGTTCAGCTCTCTTTGCCAGCGTCCACATGGAGATACACAGGATTTCCTTGCGTGAATCCAGACTTTCAAATATTAGGCTTATTAGTGTGAGGTAAAATAATGAAAACTGGCAATAGAAGCTTTCAAAAATGGGACAGAAGTAGGGCTGAAGGGAGGGATAGAGCAAATATGTGTGGGTTAAATCATCTCTGGGTCACCACAATTTCTGTCTGGTTTTCAAAACCATTCAGTGGTAAACCAATGCCATCAATGCACTATGGAGCAAGCAACATGGAAGGCCCTGGGTGTTAAACAACACCCTACCCCAGTCCACTAGCACACTCCCTAGCCACCAGGCACCTACCACAGGGTCCTTTACAGTGTCGATCAGCTTAATGATATTTGTTCCACCACGAAGGTTCTCCAGAATCTTAACCTCTCGTTTTATCTTCTTTTTCTTCACTGGCTTAAATACACAAGAGTAATCAGAAGTGAGACTCCTTTTGAAGTTAGTATCATAAATACAACTTTAAAGAATATGAAGGCAACAACATACATCCTTCTCTATCATGTGCACTGTGTTGTGTTAAAGACCATGCTTAAATCAGAAGAGGAGAAGTGGTCTAAAATGGACCCTACGCACAAGAATCTTGTAAGTTAAACAATTTACAGTTTATTGCTTATATGATAAGATCTAGAACTAGTTACATGTAGGGTAGTAAAAATTTGAACATCCACGTTATTTTTTAAAAATAAAATGATGCTTACTAGATTAATGCCAAATGTGTTATAGCTCTGAACAGCTGTACATCATGGACAAATGGAAAAACTGAAGCAAAATGGCCTGACGTCTGCTCTAGCAATGAGTTACATGTAATTTTGTCTTCCAGGGCAAAAACCAGTTCACCAACATCAAATTACAAACTTGCTTCCCAGCTGTTGGCTCCATTTCCTGTTGCCACTCCCATTTCCTTAATATCTAGAATTAAATCAGCTGAGAGCCAGTAATGTTTCCCAGCAGATCCCATTCCTAGAGAGTGAGCTGTGGGATCAGCAAAGGAGAAAACTGATCTCATCCAACAATGAAGGCAAACTTCTGCTCTCTTCTAAGCCACCAATCTGCAGGATGGAAAACTGAAAGTCTTCTTAGAAACACTCCCATTACACGTATCATTTCCTGTCGAAATAGGCTACAAATTCAAAGAAAAAATGCAGTTCTGAAGTGTGTTATAATCAAGTATGTTTATAAGTCACTCAGAACAGCAACTGGTACACAATACCTATCAGCCCTATTTCCTTCATGTTTTCACTTAGTAGGAAGTCAGATTTACACAAGAGTAGCAGAGTCCACAGCAAAGGAGCTATCTGCCCAAGCTAACAGCAGCACAAGTGAGATTTGGTGATATGACTGCCCAGCACCCTCTTCGCTTCTATACTTTTGTTCCCAAATTGGGCAAGAGACAGAGTAAGGAGAAGTTCTAGTCTATTGCTAAAACACTGTTATAAGAGTACAGGCAAAGAGGCCACTGGGCTTGCTATGAAGTGATAAAACAGGTTCTAAAAAGCCTGTGGGGGTCTCAGCAGGTAAGAGTGCTTGCCACCAAACCTGACAACCTGAGTTTAATCCTTGGAACCTGCATGGTCGAAGAAGAGACCCATTCCCACACTTTGTTCTCTGATTTCCCCACACAGTGCACTGTCCCCACAATAAACCACATGAATGTAAAAGAAAAATTTTATGCTCAGAGATAATAATGTAAATAAACAAATATAGTCTCTTGGTCACTGAGATACACATCTCAACAAGAACAAGGCAGGCTGGGGGAATTGCTCAATTCGTTAAGAGATGTGCAAGCATGTGGATCCAAGTTCAGATCCCTAGCACCTATATCAAAGGCCAGGCCTAGCCACACCCATGCCTGTTAACACCAGACCTTAGTGGGTGGAGATGGGAGGATGCTTGGGGCTTGTTATCCAGTCAGTCTAGCAGCCTAGGTTCAATGAGAGACTTTTTGAAACAGGGTCTCCCTGTAGCCCCAGCTGGCCTGGAACTCACTATGTAGATCAGGTTGGCCTCAATCTCACAAAGATCTGTCTGCCTCCTGAGTGCTATGATTAAAGGTGTATGCCACCATGCCTAGTGAGAGACCTTATCTTAAGGGACTGAAGTGGAGAGTAATAGAAAAAGACAGCTGACGTAGTCCTCTGGCCTCCAGGAGATGCACATACCACACACACAAGACAGGAAGGGAAAGATGGAGGAAACAGCACTGGCACCATCAAGCATGGTAATGCTTTACTGGGGAGTGCATGCAGCTGTGTGCTTATAAGTCAGCTGCCATAACATCCTCTCTACTCTGCCAGGGTTCCTAGCAAAGGAGAATCGGTCGCAGGGCCTCTTCCTCATCTCTTCTAGGAACCTTACTTCCTTTAGTCTCTTTTTTGTAATTAGGAAGCTTAGTGCTTGGGAAAAAAAAATCAAGCACTATACAATCTGACTTAAAAATAGGCAGGGAAGGAGTCTGGTGAAATAGCTCAGCAGTTAAGAGCACAGAGGACCTGGGTTCAGTTCTTAGCACCCACATGGCGGCTAACAACCATCTGTAACTCCAGTTCCAAGGGATGACACCCTCTTCTGACCTCTGAAAGCACTGCACAACACGGGTCACTTACATATATGCAAGTAATACACGCATACCTATAAAATAAAAATAATAAAATATTTTAAAAAACCCAAAACACCCAGGGAAGGGCATATACATAATAATGAGCCTACAAGCCTCAAAAAAGCCAACATCATGAAACCTATGGAGCGACTGTTCCATATTTAAAAAGATATGACAACTTAATATAATGCATGAGCCAAGATTTCCTTTTATAATGAAGAACACTATAAAGAAAACTGGCAAATGTGAATAAAGGCTGTAGACTAGTTGATAGCACTGAATTAATGTTGATTCTGATTTCTGAACATTGACACTATAGAACTATATGAGAAATTGCCATTTTAAAGGAAATAACTAAGGCATTTAGAAATGACTGCAACTCCTCATATGTGTGGCTTGCGTGTGGATATATGTGATACATATACAAGAGAAAAACTAGGAGAGAGGGATAAAGCAAATGCTAACATTTGAAGAATCTGGGGGAATGATGTATGAAGGATCTTGCAACTCCCCTGTGATTCCGCAATTATGCCAAGAAAAGAGAAAAGCTTTCTTCTATGTATAAAGTCAGCTAATGCCACCAGTGTGCCAGTGCCTTTCAGTGTAAGAAAACTCTGGAGCTGTCCTGCACTCCTCCAGAGCATAGACCTGTGAGAGTGCTTCAGAGGGAAAAGGCTTACAGCCAGAGCCCCGTACAGCTAAGAAAGCCCTGTTCCTGACAGCACCCCAACCCTCACCAGGAAAGCCAGTAAACAAGCTGCTTTTATGTCACTGCCACTTTCTGGAGCCTTGTATTGCTCTCCTGCTCCTCAGCAACAGGCCAAGCAGGGGTGAGGCTCCTGGACAATCCAGGGACTGAGGTGCCTTTCAGCATGTCTAAACAGAATTCACAGAGCAAATGAAGCATGTTCTGATGTTCAACAACAACCCAGACCAGAGACTGGGAACAACTGGGGAATTCTAAAGTGCCACAGCAGAGCCCCGCAGTAGCCAGTGTTCTCAGAAGCTGACAGAAACCAAGATGCTCTCAAAAAGGAAAAGTGACCCAAGCCCAGGGAGTGCATCCTAAGGCACCAGAAACCAGGCTGCAAGCAGCTCTGTCAGCTTCAATGTACTGCTCTGAGCCTGGAGAAGACTCCAGATGCTCACCATCAAAGAGCCTGGAGAGTGAAAAAGATCACTTTAATTCTACAAATGAAACTGGTGAAGAAAAGAACATTCGCAATGGAGGATTACTACATTGAAAAAAAAAAAAGGATGAGCTTTATAGAAATAAGCCTACTTTGACTCTCCTCTGCAGAGCTGGCTTTCACTTACCACCAATTACACAAAATGCAGACATTACCTCCAGCATGCTATGAAGTCTCACCCAAGATCTGTGTATTTATTATTTTATTATTTTTTATTTTATGTGTATGAGTGTATTGCCTGCATGTATGTAAGTGCATCCATGTCGTGCAACGCCCTTGGAGGTCACTGGAAACAGATTCATAGGAGGCTGTTAGCTGCCATGTGGGTGCTGGGAATCAAACCCAGGTCCTCTGCAAGAAGCCAGTACTTTTAACTGCTAAGCTTCTCTCTAGACCAGGCTTATATATTTAATTCATCTGGTTCCAGATTCAAACTGAACTTGTTTAGCTCTTTGCCAAACAAATACCACCCCAAAAGTTTTACTCAAAGTCTAATAAAGTAGCAAAAAGGCTAAACTTGCTGTCCTGCCTCAGTTGCCAGAGCGTTGGTGTTACAGGCAATATGCTACCTCTTAGAGTAAGAAAATAGTTAAAGGGAAGAAAAATCATTTAAAAAATGTTTTGACTATAAGAATGTATTTAACACTGGGCTGGAGAGATGGCTCAGCGGTTAAGAACACTGGATGTTCTTGCAGAAGACCCAGGTTCAAATCCCAGCACCCACACGGCAGCTGACAACTTTCTGTAACTCCAGTTTCAGGGGATCCAATGGCCTCTTCTGTCCTCCATGGGCATTGCATGACATGGGTGCACTTACCTACATGCAGGCAATACATGCATACACATAAAATAAAAATAAAAATAATAAATAAAATATTTTTTTAAAAAAAGAATATTTAACATTTAAAAATTTCAATGCATGAGCTCAGAAAATGAAAGGGAAAAATATCTGTTTAGAAGTCTTCTACCTCCATGATGGTAAGCTCTAGTTATCTGGGAGACCTTTGTTCAAAGCAACCCAAGAGTAAAGATCTTTCTCCTCCTTCCCTACTTACCAACATCTAAAAATTTAAAACAAAACATAAATTTAGTGACAGGCCACATAGAAAAAAAAAGCTGACAAAATCAACAATCTATCCTCTTTACCCAGAGCTCTTTCCCTCTCTCTGGGATTAAAGGTGTGCCCCGAACTTCCAAATTTGGGGTTACTTTTATTCTATCAAATCAATGACTGCCCCCATTAAGAGACTAATTTCATCACTTGCAATGAAGAATCAAAGTCAGCAACGGTTGCCAGGAATGGTGATGGAGGAGAGAAAAAGGCTTAGCCTGGCTGACATTTATTATTTTACTCTCCTACATCTTTGAAACTCACTGCATTTTACCTAAATATAAATATTATCTGAACAATGTTATTCACTTTTCTTCTATCACTATCAATTCCTTGAGGGGAATTATTCTCAGGGCTAAAGAAAAAAAATTTTTGTTTTCAGTCTTTTTGAGACAAGGTCTCCCTGTAGTCCCAGCTGTCCTGGAACTCACTATGTAGACCAGGTTGGCCTCGAACTCAGAGAGATCTGCCTGCCTCTGCCTCCCAAGTGCTGGGATTA